TATCCGGGTGAACGTTTGATTGTGCTCGCCATGGAGACTTCGGGCCGCTTGGGCGCAGAGGCTCGGCAGTGGCTGCTCGCGCAAGTGCGCGAGCTCCCTGGTGACGCGCAGCCCGGGAAGTTGGCGCGCGCCTGCAAGGCGTTCGGCTGCGCAGCTCAGCTCTGCGCGCCGCCTGGCTTCGCTGAGCCGCGAGGGCTGCTGGGCCTGGGCTTGTGGCGGCGCCGGGCTGGGGCGCAGGAGCAGAGGCAGTGCGCTGGGGAGGCGGTGTCGAGCTGGGCAAGGGCGCTGGGGCTTCAAGCGGGCTGGCAAACCGGGCGGCCAGGCGCAGCGAGGTGACGGCGGCCCCTGGATGGCGGGCGCTCGGGGTTGTTCGCGGCCAATTGCGTTGTCGTCCTGATTTCTGCGGCGCTTTTGGGTGCGCTTACTCTGTAGGCCCCGGCCGGCCGACCCCCCCCCGGGAACGGCCGCTGTCGTGGGCGGCCCGCCCCCCCGGGGGGGGCCCTGATTGAGCGGTGGCGCGGGGGTCTGTCGGCCACAGTTCAACGAGCTCTGGCCGCGGGAGAGACGCGCGCGCGCGCTGGAGGAGGAGGAGGAGGAGGAGGAGGAGGAGTAGGAGAGGAGGAGGAGGAGAGGGAGGGAGGAGGAGGAGGAGGAGGAGGAGGAGGGGGGGGAGGAGGAGAGGAGGAGGAGGAGGAGGAGAGGAGGGAGGAGGAGGGGAGAGGAGGAGGAGGAGGAGGGGAGGAGGAGAGGAGGAGGAGGAGGAGGAGGAGGAGAGGAGGAGGAGGGGGGGGAGGAAAAGGCGGAGGAAGCGGAGGAGAAGGAGGAGGAGGAACAGGAGGAGGAGGAGGAGGACCAGCGTAAACCGAAGAGTCATCCACGATGTTGGAATTAACCCTCCCTTCGGGCTCCCTCTTCATAGGCCCCCTCAGCGGCTCATTCCGATTGAGGTGTCTGCGTCGTTGGAAGACAACCGTGTGAAGACCCTGAAGCTTGCCAGAACATGTTTCTCGGGTTTTGAACGCCACGGATCAACCTGACTGCTGCGTCTTGACGATCAGGAATCGTGCCATAACGCCATTTTTGGTACCCAAAGCCGCAAGTCAACATAATCGTTGTACCCTCATAATCCTGAATCCTTCCAGAACGCCGTTTCTGGTACGCTGATCATGGGAATCCGTGAAACTCTTGCAAATGTTAAAACGAATGTGCGCGGCGCGTCGGCGATAGACGCATTTTGAAGAGGAGCCGCCCTCAACCCGTGAAGCTCTTGCAAATTTTTAAGACGAGTCTGCGCGGCGCTCAGGCGAGAGAAACATTTTGACAACCACCCGCCCTCAATCCCTGAAGCTTTTGATGCTTAAAACGAGTGTACGCGGCGCTGGGATGATAACCACATTTTGAAAACGACCCGCCCTCAATCCGTGAAGCTCCTGCAATTAAAAAAACGAATGTGCGTGGCGCGAGGGCGAGAGCCACATTTTTCAAACCGACCCGCCCTCAATCCGTGAAGCTTTTGCAAGTTCTTAAACGAATGTGCGCGTCGCTAAGGCGACAACCACATTTTGAAAACAACCCGCCTTCAATCCGTGAAGTTCGTGCAATTTCTTAAACCGAATATGGGCGGCGCTAAAGCGAGAGCCACATTTTGAAAACCACCAGCCTTCTATCTGTGAAGCTGTTGCCATTTTCTCAGCTTCCGAGTCATGATTGGTGAGGAGGTCTCAGGCGAGATGTCCGGCCCGCCCTAATAACTTGAGGAGGAGGGGCAGGAGGAGGATGAGGAGGAGGAGGAGGAGGAAAAGGAGGAGGACGAGGTGGAGGCTGATGATGATGATGATGATGATGATGATGATGATGATGATGATGATGATGATGATGATGATGATGATGATGATGATGATGATGATGATGATGATGATGATGATGATGATGATGATGATGATGATGATGATGATGATGATGATGATGATGATGATGATGATGATGATGATGATGATGATGATGATGGATGATGATGAGATGATGATGATGAGGGAGGAGGAGGAGGAGGAGGAGAGGAGGAGGAGGGGAGGAAGGGATGAGGAGGACGAGAAGGAGGAGGAAGAGGAGGAGGCGGAGGGGAAGGAGGAGAGGTGGAGGAGGAGGAGGAGGAGGAGGAGAGGAGGAGGAACCGGGGGGGAAGTGAGAGGGGACGGGCCTTTTCTGAAGGCTCGGAAGTCCCCCAGCCTTCGAAAAGTTTGTTCGCCCTCCCCGAATGCGCGGACACTTTTTCTCCTGATTTCCCCCTCGCTCGCCGCCGAAACAACGAGCTGCGCGCAAGACTCCCACGAGCTGCCACGAGCTGCCGCGCAAGACTCCTCTGCCCGATCGCAGGCCCCAGCGGGGACGCCTGGGACAACCTGACGAGGCTCATCCGGCTGCAGCTTTTCTGCGCGGAGGACCCCCCCCCGCGTCAGGGCGCGCACGCCCTTCCGTCCCCTGCTGCGGGCGGCGCCCGGCC